TGAGTTATATAGCACATTGCAAGCTTTCCAAAATGTCCAAGAACTCCTTGAGATCATTTTTTAGTAGGGAGAATCAAAGAGATGAAGTTGGCAATTTCTCACTTTGATTTCAAGCCATTTCATGAAGAACAAAAATTCAAATCTGAACCTATGCTGCCTAATACTTGCTTTAAAGGTCTCAAACTTGTTTCTCACTTCATAATTTAATTCTTACACATATGATAAAGCCTTAATCCAATCACAAGAGTCTTTATCCAAGCTTTAATTCCATAAATGGCACAAAGTTGTCATTGCCATTTTAGAAAAGCATAACTTTTGCAACTTTTCACTCCTTGAGCCTTGCATCTGTTTTTATGCACACACAAGTCCTATAAACCAAAAGAAAATTGTCTAGGACTTGTACCAACTCCAAGCAGGCCTGTACAAGCATATAGAGAGTGGTCTCTTCACTTTTCTTAAAAGGCAAGCAATAGAGCAAAAAGCCTATAACTCAAAAACCTGTTGAGGAATTGATTTGAAACCTTCTCTATACTTATACACAAACACATTGCAACCTAACACACGATTTCTCAAGGCCAGAAACTCTCTAAAACTCCCTATCACCAAAAACCTGTCATAACTTGCAGTTTGAGATCAAGCATAGCAATCCAGAAATCTACTCGTGCGTTTCAAGTTATAATCACTCAAACACCTAACCTACCTCATATCTAAGTGTTCCATACCATCACCCCTTCACTGTAACTCCTCCTTATCCAGCTGTCATTTTTGCATTTCAAGCTTGCAGGTTGACTTGGATAGAAAGATTCAGGCACTTTCAAAGTAAGGCAAGGATTGGAACACACTCAGGGAGGTTCAGGCAAGCTAAAGGAATCTTCAGGCCTTCATAAAACTCACTCAAACTCCATTCACGATATCAGCTGAAGGAGGTAAGAACTCTAACTTCTATCTCTTCATACAAATATCCATTGGTCTCGATTTGTGAAAGGAAAATGTAGATATTATTGTGCTAAAGCCAACCATGTGCATAGATTTCATTTATGTTTATTATGTATAGAGAATTTTAGATTTCAATTTTTTGTAAAAATTAGGTTTAAAATTAGGGCCATTGAAATTAGCTTTGATCTTTGACTGATAGTTTACATGAGTTACATGGTTGGAATCGTGGGAAAAAGTACTACCATTTTCATGTTTGAAGTTTCCATTTTCATGGAGAAATGAGAAAGATACAGAGGTTCTGGCTAGCTTGAGGAAGAAGATGAAGTACAGGGCAAGGAGGCATTATGTGTTATGTATTTTTTGTTTCATATGAACTAACAGATGTACAGCCACTCCAGTGGCAAGGTAGCGCGCTGAAAATGCATAGGTCATGGGTTCGAACCTTGGCGTTACCTTTTGCATTTTTCTCATTTTTCAGCTTCATTTTTGACATTTTTGGCAGCGTGGGCTCAGCTTATGGGCCTCTCATTTTTTTTCTAACACTTACCTCTTTTTTCCTTACAACACCCCTGGCCCAATCTTTTTATTATTTATTTTTATTTTCATTTTCATTTTATTAAATATATTTTCTTTAACATAAAAATCATAAAAAATATGACACATGATAAATATTGCATTTTATTTATTTTATTTTATTTTCACATAAAAAATATTTTTATTAAATTATATACTAACTATTTTTCTTAAATAAACTTGTAAAATAAAATAGACTTAGGTATATTTTTTATCCCTTTTCTTCATACTTGTAAATATTTATTTTGACATATAAAAAGACTAAATATTTCACAAAATATTATCTATTATTTTTAATATAAAAATACACAAAAAATAATACTTAAAGAACTTTATCTTCTTTTACAAATTAGAAATTAGGGTTAACCAATTTATAAAAATAATTTCATTTTCTTAAATTATTAGGATTAGGTCAAAACTCTTTTGCATATGAAAAAAACAAAGCAAATTTCTTTTTCTTGCATATACATAACATTGCATATTTAAAATATATTGTATATTCAAATATTTGTACAAATTCGATTTGGTTGTAATAGCTTAATTAGATTTACATTATTGCAAATCCCCATTCATAATTTGTATATCCCCCTCCCATGCAATGTTGTAATAGCGTAGTAATATTTAAATTACGTAATTTACCGCTTTCATATAACATGCTAGTAATTAGGGTTTGAATGACAAGATAAAAACAATCAAATAGAAAACCCTATTCCAAGACAAAATCAAGTATGGAAATAATACATTTGCACACAAGCATCATTAGGGTTACTCCACTTGGTTGCCTTGTACAAAAATGTCCATCTTATGCATGTAAAACATCTTAGCAAAATAAACAAATATAAGATCATAAGTCCCTCGATGACACTATTCAAAGTTGCCTCACAAAATGATCTTGGTCCCTAAAAAATGCTAAGATACTTTGCAACATTGCTAATCATGGTTATACGATGACCCACGCCCGTCCCGTTTACATCCAAAGATAGGGTTGCTTACCCAATCAATGGTAAGACAACAATGTCAAAGGAATAGAAAATGAACAAGAAAGACATTTGAGTAGGTAGATTACTTCTAGTTACTTGCTCTATTTTCAAATAACAATCCTTGCTATTTTCCAAAACAAACACACACATTTTCAAACATCTTACAAATATTGAAAAAATTTTCAAAAAGACAAACATCTTTGTATACATTCTTACGAACGAGAATCATTACAAAGATTTCATAAATGATAGCCTCTTTTACAAAATACTTTCAAAAACCACATAAAGCACAATTTCAAAACAAAAGCAAGTGATCTAGCAAGTAACTAAGATCCCATGGAAAACCATGGATGAAAAGGGTGCTAATACCTTCCCTTTTCATAACCTACCACTCGAACTCAAGAAACAATCTCAAAGGTCTTTCCTGTGCTTTTTCACCTTTCCTTTTTTGGATAAAAGAAAAGTCGGTGGCGACTCTTGCTAACCGCAATATTTGCGATAAAACGCAAAACCCTCAAGTCAGTTCTCCCACCATATCACACACATCATAGTAAGCTCCATATACATCATTTCACAATATTACAACATCAATTTATACCAAATTCATCATAATCATTATGCTATCAAATTCATCATAAAAATCCTAAACAACCTACATACATCTAAACCCTATATCAATCATAACAATAATGATAACCCTCTTACCTTAGATTATAGTTTTGATCTTCTTCTTTGTGTTATACCAAAAATCCCTTTGCTCTCTTTCTGCCCTAGCTCTGCTGCATTCTTCCAACTCTTTTTACGATGGCGTAGAATGACATACTTTTCCCTCTATTCCTTGTTTAACTATCAGACCCTTTATATGGTCTTCCCATCTTACCCTCACTAATTACTTCACCAATTACTATCTTATCCTTATTATTTCTACACCTCACATTATCTAATTTTACTAATTAAAATAATTCTAAATAATTACTCTAATTATCTAAAAGCATCTAAACCATTCAATATCACTTAATTTCCACTATGTCCTACATAACATCACATCACACATCATATTTATCAAACATCCCATATACTCACAAATACATCACAAATACTTATCATAATTAATAAATAATTAAATAAATAATCTAATTATTTTGGGGTGTTATAACTTTCATGGTCTTGCGCTCTTCTTCCTTTTCATCTTGTTGCAATTCGTGGTAAATACTCTTGGTTCCTGCGATGTCAACATTGATTGTATTCAAGAACCGCAAGTCCATGGTCTTAATGTCTTTTCCCTCTCACACCGATATCATTAGTTCAATGTATCCTTAAGGACATGTTATTGTATCGTTGAATGCTTGCAATTTTGATCCTCCATATGGCAACAACTTTTCTTTCTTTACGCACATCTTCTTGAATTATTCTGAATATATTATGTTGCATAAGTTACCGCCATCAAAGATTATTTGGGTCACATTAAAGTTGTTGATGGTGGCAGTTATGATTAGGGGGAAATATCATTCAAAATTTCTCTAACTTTCTAGCTATCTTAAAATTCGAGCATTGGTCTGTTAAAAATTTTGGTTGAGGTATTTCCATCTTTCTTATGGATGACCATCAATTCCACGATCTTCCTTTTTATCGCCCCCTTTGACGGGGAGCTGACTCAAGGTGAACCTCTAGTAATGGTTGCAATATGCAAGTGTTTTCCGTTATTCACCTCTTTCTCTTTATTGTTGGCCTCTTCACGATTAGCCACGACAACAATCACCTTGGATTGAGACTTGCTCTTTGGAAACTCTTCTTCATCCTTCTTGTTGCATTTGGTGTATTCAAACAAGCGACATCTCTTCATAAAACCTCCGATTGTATTCTTTAGTTGGATACAATCATTATTGGTATGGTCAACAAGGTTGTTAAAATCGCGATTTAAACCCGAACTCTATATATTTCATGTTTCTAGGTCAGTATTTCATGTTAAATCACTAATACAAATATTTTTATATAAAATCGTATCTTAAGACGATTATAAATAATTTAAATCTCTCTAAAATCAGTCAAATCATGTAAAATTGTTGGATTTTACTCTTTGATCAAATTGTACATTTTTTTTGTCAAATTTTAAAATGCTCATTTATATTTTAACCCATAAAAACTTAAAAAATATTTTAAAAATAATTTATTCACATTATAGTTTTTCCACACTTACTATTTGAGAGTTAAAGGTAAAAAGGTTTGAAACCCTAACGAGCATCATCATTTGTAATTTGCATATGATGTCGGAACCTCATAAAATATTTCAACGACGAGGTTTTATGAGCCTTCAAATTCACTCTCACTCGTATTGGGAATAAGAGACACCAGTACGACAGCAGAAACCGTCGTTTGCTCTCAACCAAAACGACAACGCTTAAACAATTAGAATCTGAATTCAGAAAACAATAATGGGAATTGGGGGAAATCTTTCCCTAACCATTTTCTTGTTACGTTAGAGGATCCAATCTTGAAACACTCTGATAAATAATGAAACGAGGCTACCGAGAATCTCCTTCATCTTCATTCGCTCCACCTCAATCTAAATCTAGACATAATTCTCAAGGTATCATGATTTTGTGTTCAACATTCGCGTGGTTGTAGTCACTTGCTTATTTTCATTTGAGTTATTGTGTGTAGGTGATGCCAATTTCCTCGAGGATGAAACCACCAAGAATTTTGCTCAGAAAGTAGCTGATCATTACAGTGCAAGATCAAACCAGACCCTGGAACAACGAGAAGCTAGCCCAATTATTCATTTGAAGAAACTCAATAACTGGGTGGGCATGCCTCTATTTTCCTTACTATATCATTTTCTCGGATGATTTTTTATTAACACTTTTTTTTTTGTTACTTAACAGATTAAGAGTGTCTTAATTCAGCTTTACGCTCGCCGAGGAGATGCAGTACTTGACCTAGCCTGTGGCAAGGTGTTGATGCCTTTCACCTCTTGTTTATATACTGCACCTCATTCTTACTTTCTTATCTCTGCTTTCCTATTTTTGTTTTACCAGGGCGGTGATCTTATTAAATGGGACAAAGCCAAAATTGGATATTATGTTGGTATTGACATTGCTGACGGTTCTGTAAGTCTTCTAATTTTCTGCGCTCGGTTGTTTGTACAATCATTACCATCAATCTTACTATATTCTATTGGAAAAAAACATTCAACCATCTGTGCAGATCAAAGATTGCCGTACCCGTTACAATGGTGATGCTGACCATCATCAACGACGTAAAAAGTTTTCATTTCCTGCTCGTCTCATGTGTGGAGATTGTTATGAGGTGATTAATATTTCATAAAATAAAATATCTCTGCTTTATACTTGTCACTTAATGTTTTGATGTTCACGTTTCATCTCTGTTTTTTTTTGTTAAAGACACGGATGGTTTGTTTGGGAACAAATTGAGAAGGGTATGAAAATGGGAAGATATTGTGAAAATGGACGGGGAATATTAGATTCACAGCCTTTTCTCTTTCTTTAAATTATTTTTCCTCAAATCATTCTAATAAAAAATGAACATACATGTGATTTGGGAAAAGTTGAGACAAGATTGACACGCACTGTCTCGTTCTCGATAAATTTTCTTTCTTTTTCTGTTTCTGTTTTTCTTCTGCCATCACAAGTGTTGTTACCATACTATACTTCCATATCTCTTGGCATAGAAATTTCTAAACCAGAAAATTTAAATGATAAAGTCATGTAGAAAGTGATCTTGAGCTTCAATAGTAATTTCTATGTTTGTTAAGATGTTAAAAAAAGTAGGCTTTGTTGTTCATGTCATTTATAATTTCAGGTTCGCTTAGACAAAGTTCTTGCAGATGATGCTCCTTTTGATATCTGTAGTTGCCAGGTAAATGATGCACTCTTATGTTAATATAGATCATTGTATTTATGCTGAGACCCATGTGTACTACCTTAAAATGCGATCTCTCTAGAAACTACCTTGTTTTCTGCATCAACTTTTGGATCCTATTTTCATGTTAAAATCCGTATGTATTTCTGTTATTGCACTTTTTGCATCTAGATTCTCAAGTGTTTTTGCAATATAACCTTACTGTTTACACTCTTTTAGCTCACTACATACCAGTTACAAACTTGTTTATTTCTAATCTGATAAACGTTTTAAATGCTGCAGTTTGCTTTGCATTACTCCTGGTCTACAGAGGCACGTGCTCGGAGAGCATTGGCTAATGTGTCAGCTTTACTTCGTCCAGGTGGCATTTTCATTGGAACTATGCCAGATGCCAATGTGATTATCAAGAAGCTTAGAGAAGGTTTTTAACGCGCTTACAATTCTAATTACTATTCTTTCAAAATAAATTTAGCCGTCGATGAAATTATATCCATTGATCTATGTCGCTGACCTCATCTAGTTAAATAAGACATTGTAATTATATCCATTTGATGTGAATATGCAGCTGAAGGGTTGACTTTTGGCAACAGTGTCTACTGGATCCGTTTTGACGAAGAATTTTCTGATAAGGTAATTTTTTTCTCCCGATCCTCTTGCTTCATCATTTTATTTTATCATGTGCAGGACCTATATGATTGTGGGAGTGATGATTTTGTGAATTCTACATCTAACCAAATTTCTCCTGTGATTCAGAAATTTAAATCTTCCAGCCCCTTTGGAACCAAGTACACGTTCCATTTGGAGGTATCATTTCTTTTTTACTCTTCTCATTTTTCTAAGCATCTAATAGTTGTTTTGCATAACCCGGGGCTGATTGTGAGATTGTATGTCAAACTAATGATCACAGAGAACACTTGCATATTAAGTTATCATTCAGCAGCGCATTTGTTACTTGTTCATAACCCTTTAACTCTTGCAGAAGTTTAACCAAGTCATTTATTTAAACGTGTATAAGTCAAATTTGAGCTCATTTTTCAAGTGAGTCTATTTAAAAGCCCGATTTTAGCTTGTTAAAAATAGCAGAGTTTAACCTAGACTCATTTATTTAAACGAGCCTAACTAAAAAAGTTCATTATTTTAGACCATTCATTTTCATAATTTAGTTCATAAAAAGTTCAAACTTTTTCGCCTCTATAAAAAAGAAATTTCAAAATTAAGTTATTACTCTTAAGTCTCAATAGATTTCTATGTATTTCCATATTATAAATAAAAAACAATGACTAGGCAATGATTATCATCAATTTATGGGTAGGGTACAATGAAGCCCAGATATGTAGTACAATCATGGATATGATACCACAATGATATGAAAAATATTTAAAATTCAAGAAACGACATAGCTTAGGTATGTTAATAAAGTTTAATAAAAGAAACATATATAGAATACTTGTAAAAAATACATTAACAATTCCCCATTAATGTATAGCTATAAATGTTATTAAACTCGACCGTTATCTCGGCAAGAAACAACAAACCAAGAAAACCGCGTCAGACTGTGCGGTTCCTTCACAAATGGGTGACTTGGCTGGAACGGCTGCAATTTTGGGATTGGATTAAGAACAATGTTGCTCTAGCACAGCCACTTCGGCCGCGTCAGGCGCATATGATATCACCCAATTTTTTTTAAGGATAGCAAGGTTATTTTATTGAATTCTATTGGCATTTGCAAGTATGTTTTGCTTTAAGACTTAAGGCTTCTATTTCTAAATATAAATACTTCATAAATCTTGATTAATTTATTTTTAGTATTTAACAATTACGTGTTCATTAGTATTTAACTGTATTAGTGTCCGTGTCGCTAAAATATCGTCCGTTCTGTTCCATTTTTGGAGATGGCCGCACTGTGCTGCTATTCGAGATTGATAACATAGTATAATGACCACGGACCACAATTTACAAAAGATACATGTAATAAAACAAAAAATTGTGGAATTTTTCGCCTAAATTAAAATACATTTTAACATTTTTGTTAACCCTGAGGCTGTAACTACAAAGACAAAAAGGATCTAGAGTCCTCTTTTTGTTTCTGGGGGAGAGAGCATTTTTTTCTTTCAAAATGTAAAAATTAAATGTCAAATCTTGAAGTCTTGTACTTGACTAGTTAAAATAACCAAGTTCAATCTCAAATTTAGGTTTGTATATTTAATTAAGAAAACAAGCTTGGTGGACAATTTATCGAGTTCGAATTGTTTCCAAATAGATTTCTCCTATTTTTAACACTCGTCTGCCACTATTTAAAACACATTGCCTTTTGTTGCAGGATGCTGTTGATTGTCCTGAATGGATTGTCCCCTTTGATGTATTCAAGTCGTTAGCTGAAGAGGTGTGTATTACTGCCTGCAAAACCGTTAAATTTTTGTATTCCCACCCACCTCCTATCCCCTTCCCCTTCTACTGCTAAAATTATAATTTGTAGGTTTCACATTGCAGTATGATTGTAATTTGCAGTATGATTTTGAGCTTGTTTTTGCAAAGAACTCGCATGAATTTGTTCACGAGTATATGAAACGACCGGAATTTGTGGAGCTCATGCGAAGACTTGGTGCGTTGGGGGATGGCAACCAAGATCAAGGTAACCCTTTGTGACTGTGCTATTACAATTTCCATTAAATTTCACAAGAGGAAAGACGGTCATTAGGGTGTCATTCTGTCCGCATTTGTATAATATTCGTTTTAATTCACTTTGCTTATTTCAGTTTCATAATATGCCCAGATTTCAATATTCATATATGTTTTTATATCTTCTATATCAGGTACACTATCAGCTGATGAATGGGAAGCAGCATATTTATACATGTCATTTGTATTGAGAAAGGTATGCAGCAATGTAATTGTGCTGGCTACTTCATGCTTATAATGCAACCATTTGTGGATTTGCTAGCTAAAATCGATTTTCTTTCTGAACAAACAGCGAGGCCAACCTGACAAAAACCAAGCGAGCAGCAAAAAAGACCGAGGATTGATGCATATTACAGAAGACGACATAATGTTTATTAATGGCTATGACTATTGACGACTAAAACAGAACAAATAAATGAGTGACTTGCTTTTCAAGAAAGGACATAGAACCGCAGAGGGCATAAAGCAACCTGCATTGGCAATTTGCCATGAGCCTGGACCATATATCTCACAATCTTGAAGACTAGCAATCTTTTGTTGAATATTGTAAGTTGGCAATAAATGGTTGAAGTGAATTTTCTGCCCTAGAAGGTGTAAGTCAAAAATCATGAAAAGTAGTAAAACATAAGTAAAAAGAATATCACAGGTATTTATATAGTTTTCCATGACGACATATATTGACATCTCCCATAGATGTATTTATATAGTTTTTCAACGCATAGATTAATGCTCAGTATTTTCTATGCGTTCAAAATTAGATTAAAAGAGTATCTCACATAAAAAAACATTAAGAATAAGGTGCAATTGAATAGAATAAATAATTTCAATAAATTATGCAATATCAAATTAAACATATGTCCCAATAGTACAGAAAAAGGTTCATCAAATCAAAACATAACCTATGAGAATTTCACTCATTATTTTAACACACAGAACTTACATGATTTTTCTCACTGTTAACACACACTGAACTTCTGATGTTCACCCACTGGCTCAGCACAATACAGAACTTTTGATGTTCACTCACAATCTTAACACAGCACAAAACTTCTGAGTTCTCATTACATGTCAAATACACTGGACTGCTGACGTTTGTTCACTGTTTCAGTGTAATACAGAACTTCTGACTTTCGGTTCACTAGTTGGACACCACCCAGAACCTCTGTGTTTTTCCTCTAACGTTTTTGCAGGACTTCAAAGTGTATCCATCCAGAACCTCTGTTCCCTTTCCCTCTGACGTTTTTTGCAGGACCTCAGAGTGTACGAATCCAGAACTTCTGATCCCACTGACGTTTCCTGCTGAGTCACGCGCCTGGCTTCAGAACTTCTGATCTTTGTTTCTTTGTTTACAGCAACACGCTGTTTCTACCTTGCATTCATTTTTCCTTTTCATCTTTTTTTTTTTTATATATTAACATGAAAAAACACAAATATTTTCCTTTTAATTTATTTCCTTAAGACAAAAACATTTTCTAAACAAATCCATTTCTTTCTTATATTGTACATTTCAATATGGTTGTAATAGTAACTTAGTACTTATTTTTTACCTGCAATCCCCATTCATAAATTTGTACCCACATCCCCTAAATATTGTAATAGCGTAGGACTTTATATTTCTGCAATTTATCGCTTTCAAATGTAAATGCTAGTAATTAGGTGTGTATGGCAAGATAAAAAACAACAAATAGACAACCCTAATCAAGACTAAATGCATGCAAATCAAACACTCTTTGCGCACATGCACCCTTAGGGTAATCTCACTCGTTGCCTTACAAAAATGGCCATGTTATGCACGTGGGATGCCTTAGCACAAACAAATCGAAAAATACAAGATCATAGTCCCTCGATGACGCTATCAAAGTTGTCTTTCAAAAATGATCTTAGTCCCTAAAGAAAAGTGTTAAGTCATCTCACAATATTGCTATCATGATCATACGATGACTCAACGCCCGTTCCTTCACATCCAACGATGGGACTTCTCACCAAATCAATGGTAAGATAACAACATCTAAAGGAGGAGGAAAAAACACATCTAAGACCTTTTGAGTAGGTATATTACTTTTAGTTACTTGCTCAAATTCAAAATAAACATCCTTGCTATTTTCAAAAACAATCACATACACTTTCCAAGACTTAAAATATTTTCAAAAGCTCAACACTTTGTATATGTTCTTACGAACGAGAACCATTACAAAGTTTGCCTAAAAAATGGTCTCTTTTACAAAATACTTTCAAAAACCACACAAAGCACATTTTTCAAACAAAAGCAAGTGATCTAGCGAGTAACTAAGAGCCCATGGAAAACCATGGATGAAAAGGGTGCTAATACCTTCTCTTTTTATAATCTACCCCCAAACTCAAAAACATCTCTAAAGGTCTTTCCTGTGCTTTTTTCACTTTTCCTTTTTGGATAAAAGAAAGTCGGTGGCGACTCTTGCTAAACCGCAATATTTGCAAACACAAACGCAAATCCTCAAGTCAGTTCTCCCACCGTATCACACGTCCCAATGTCCCCCTATCTGCTTTATTTACCATCATCCAAGCTCTCGCAAACTTTTGATGGTAACCTTAATTGTCGCTCTCGTAGTCAAACACCACTCATTGGATGAGCATATCGTGCGGACCATCTCTTCGGGCATACCCAAACTGTCACAAAGCCAAGCAGAGGTTGTAAGTGATACCTCCTTGTTGTACCCCAAAATTTGCCCTCCCATATTCTTCAAGAAATTGCCAAGCCAAGTCACAAAATTCCCCAAGGGTTGCACAGTGCAGGGGCCTCCTAAACAGTCAAAATTAGGGTTTTGAGTCTGATCAAGAAAAGGAAGTGTTCAAAGGCTCAATCAAGTCTCATATGCTTACAAACATGGTCAAGCATCTTCATATCAAGTTTCAAGGCATTCAGCTCAAGATTGCACAGTCAAAACCCTAAATTGCACTACAGTCAACTGTAGGGGCAAAATGGTCATTTGACAGTCAAAAGTTCAAATTTTTGGTCAACATGTCATTTTGAAGCCACAAACATCATTTGATCAATGCTTGATCATGATTCTCAAAATTTGGCTCAGAAAATCATCAAAGATGCAAAAGTTGCTATATTTGGACAGCTGAAAAAGTCAACTGAAATTGACCAGGGCATAACTTTCACATGGATCATCAGAAAAATTCCATCCAAAGCTCATTTTGAAGAGAAAGACATTTCCTACAACTCATCTTCATACTTCAAGTCCAAGAAATGCTCTCACAAAAAGTTATCAATTTCAACATTATAGGTCATTTTCAAAAGTCAACAAAAAGGGACTTTAAGTCAAAGGCCATAACTTGAGATTGGAAAATAAAAATGACATGGGACCAAAGGCATTGGTTAAAGGACTCAAAGACCTTTCCAAAATGTCCAAGAACATGAGAAAAGCTTAAAAATTGAGCAAGTTATGCCTTGTAGAAGTTGGGAAATTTTTGTGAAATGGCAAAAGTCAACTATCCTTGAAACTCCAATTTTTGACAAAAGGGCCCACTTTCTTCCACTTGATTCATCCTTGTCATGCCACACACGTGTCCCATGATTAATTTCAAGATCAAACATTGATTTTTCTATTTTATTTAATTTTTGATAATTTAATTCATTTTAAATCTTTAAAAATTCAAATAAAATTCAAAAACCAATGGAATAGTGTCATTTGAATTTGGACAACTTCCATATATCATGGGCCAGCTCACAAACTTATGCTAGGGTTAAATTGCACACCAAGTCTTGGTTTGCTTAAAAAAAGGGAAAATTGGTTAATGGTGAAAACCCTAGGGCTAGTTCTCTCATGAGCATGAATCAAGGCCAGCTAGCAAGCTAATTCTCTTCCCTCATAAGTGCTAAGTCAAACCCTAACCATAACACACCAAAGGCTGCGCTCAAAAGCTCATTGAAAACTTGAAATTTTGACTTGAAAAATTGAATTCTGAAATCACTATTAGAGGTGGATTCAAGGCATAAAAGTTTTTCTAATAGTTTCCTCAAGCCCCCCTGATCACATTGCAATCCCTAACATCCATCAATACGCGAAGAATTGGTACATAGAACCCTCCCTGTACAGCAAGAAAGTGTTGATCGTGTTTTCAATTTGAGACATCCCCATTGCATTTTAATTGTATATTCATGTTCCTTACAAAGTTTCCAAACTAACCATTGTGTTTAATTGCATTTTTGTTGACCATACGCGATTTCACCATGTTCACATTTTAGGGTTTTCAAGTTGTGATTTTAGGGCTTTTACAATACTGTAAAATTAGCCTTCCAGACCATGATAGTCATACTCAGCAAGCCTAGACGAAGAAGAAGCACTATTCGCGAACAATTTATGAAGCTTATAGCGCTATTCGCTATTTTTCTAAAAGTCCCCTAAGGCCATGCGTGTAAAACCGTTTCCATAGGCTTGTGTTTCAGAAAAAAAAGGAAAACAACGAAGGAGATGATGTGTTGTCTAGCAGCGATTGGCCAGTTTTGAATTTTCGCGCTTAACCACTAACGCGTTTATTCTTTTCTTTTGTTATTTACTTATTATAATATGTTAATTAAAGCGTTGTGGTTCAGTTGGCAGGTATACATGCTTGTGACTCTCATGACCTGGGTTCAAGTCCCAGGTCTGGCAAATTGCAATATTATTTTTCAATGTAAATTCTTATGCAGCGCGCCTATTGTGGTTCACCATGTTCCATCCTCATCCAGACATACACGCGTCCAGTTCCATCAATCAAAAGGCCAAGATTCAAGGAACACCATGTACCATAGTCAGACGTGTCATAGGCTTGCACAAAAGTCAACGAATTCAAGGTTAATTGGGCCAGAATGCTAGGCCTTACCTCCAATTTTGGGGCCACCCCCCCCCCCCCCCCCCTGGTTTGCATTTTCTTTTCATTTTTTTATATATCTTATTTTCAATTGCAATTTTATTTGATTTATTATCTCAATTTAATTAATTAGTTTTTTCAACAAAAATATAAAAACATCATAAAAAATCAGAAAAAGACCAAAAAAGAATAAATATTGTTATTATAATTATTTTCTTGTAAATAAATTAATATATAATGAATTTAGTTTTAATTAGGATGTTTGCAATTTTAATTCTTTTCATATTAAATAAAATAATTAGAATTAGGTTAATTAACAGTTTCCACCCCTTTTAATTTTTCCTTTTTCATCATAATATTATTATTTATTTATTTTCATAATTAAATTGTATATAAATAATTTAGGTTTAAATTAGGTTCAAAATTCAATCTTTTTCTTAATAATTTGAAAATAGTTAGAATTAGGTTTAATATTTCATGTTATTTTTAATTAATTAATTAATTTCTCCTTAATCTTAAAAAATACAAAAATACCAAAAAACATTCTTTTTAATTTTA